TGTACTCTACCATCGACACTCAAATGAATGGTGGTTGCCCAAACTGTCATCGTACTTTGTCATTGAAGGTGTGAAAGTTGTTCTAGTGATATATATTCTTTGCTTTTACAAATTATAAACCTACAAATCAAACACGGACTTAAGTTAAATTCAAGTTACGTATCGATAATTCACTCCTACCGTCTTATAAATAGATGCGATACAAAACTTAAATTTCTCCCCCTCAACTACACAAATTCAAGCTTAATAAAGTTGTCGGTCAAAAAAATTCTCGAGTTCTTGAAATTTCTCTCCCCTTGTTAATTTTGTAACCTAAGCAAACTCGAATATGGTATCTAATCTCGAACTTTAATACCATTGGTATTGATTATTTTTAAAGAAAACTATAGCTTACAAAAGCTAGCTCAATCTACTACTCCTATACATCAACCTAGTTACCAAATCCAAGATTGAGCTATTAGTCTCATTTGCTTAGAAACATTCTTAATGAATTATTTAATAAATCGAATCTAAATAAATTTATTATTCCAACAAACCAGAGAAAATGTCCTGTTGTTCAAGTGATATTGGTGTTTTTAATCGTTTATATAAATTTATGAAAAATTTCATATAAATACATAAAATATACATATATACACCTACCTATACACCCCAATAAATAATAGAAAGAAAAATAATGGCAATAATTGAATTTGATTGTTTTTTTGGATTTGAAAGGACAAAAAATCACTTGAATGCTTGACCCAAAGGATCTAATAATTAATGTGATAACAATTTCACATAACTAATCATTGAGTCCATTTTGGATCATATGGCAACATCTCTTTCAACTTCAACTATTTTTTACTTATCATTCACTCCAAAAAATTTTACACTTCTCTCTCTTTTGAGGTTAATTTGGTTTTATTATTATTATTTTTTTTAACCAATCCTCTATTTGATCCTTTATCCACACATCCTACATTTTCAAAAGTAATTGAAATCTAAGGTCCTAATCTATTAAAATAGGATATTTAATAATAAGACGTGAATTGAAGTTCGAGAAAGAAATCATAACGATGTAATTTAAAGGAATGTTATTTGCAACACAATTATTTAACTCTTATATAAAACTTTTTTTTACGATATATATAGTAACTCGTGTATGGTTACCTTCTCTAAAGTAAGGCTGAGAAAAAAAAAACCCTATATATATATATATCAACCAATTCTTTGAGTTAAATTATCTGATTTTACAACAATTGGTGTGCTAAAAAAAACGAAAAGTAACTCATTTTTCAAATCTCTACCCTCTTAATCAGGTAAGTAAAACATATTAATAAGAACGAAGCGTACATTGAGATGAAGTCGTTCAATAATTGAGCTTCGACTCGGGGAAGTATCATCCCCTAGGGTGTGAAAAAACTTGGGACTTAAGGTAGTTTCACAACTAGCGGGCCTAAGAAAGGCCACCACCCCTACAAATGTAGGGCTTCCTATCCTAAAGCTAGCCCAATGGAATTCGACACCTCTTCTTACCCCTTTTTTGTAGAGTGGCGTAGATTCCTTAACTGCCTCATAGAACAAAGGACCGTTATTCCCTCTTTTTGAAATGCATTTATTAAATCAACTCTAGTTTTTCACCCCTCTCCCATTTCCATTTTTTTTTTCCTTTTTATTATGGTTTCTTTTTTAGTTCAACCATATCAAAATGGATGATTCGAAACTTACAATTTTTTTTTGTCGAAAATATATGTCTTATTTTATTAAACTTTGTTCAAGTTGGCTGGTAGTATAATTAATAGAATAAAAAAATGGGTAACTTTTAACATTTGACAGAAGTGTTATAGCATTGACTATTTCGAAAAAAAAGTATGAGCGATTCAAACCTGCCATGGGTATGGAAATAAATAATATAATGTTTTAACTAATTAAACTATGCTAGTGACTTTTTTTTCTTTTAAAAAATAATTCATTAACTTTGCGTCTTTTAAAAAATCACATATTTAAATATAGATTATTATAAATAATAGTTACAATAGGGTAACCAAAACTCATTTTGCACCTTAGTATTTTATTTTTATACGATGTTGTATTAGATTTGGTAACTGGTAAGTCAATTTTAATCTTATTCTAAAAAAAAGTCAACTTTAATCTCAAACTTTCAATTTTATCCTATTGAATTTTAATTTTGTATATATAAATATATAGTAAAATTAATATTCTCAATTTTTTTTCGTTAGCTATGAGCATTTTTTTAGTTGGATGAGATTGAGACTGCTTTGGTAGATGACGGTTTTCTTTGTTACATTTTTTTTTCGGTTAATTATTCAAATGTATTTGAGTGTGCAATTATCACTTTATTTACTATTGTTTTTTCTTCTTCCTTTTTTTTTTTGAGGAAATATTTATTCCATCTTATTGAAAAAAAGAATCGACATTATTAAATGGTAAAATAGAATAAAAACAAATAGAAACAAGTTTGAGAAATGGCACAAAATTAATGAGGAAATTATTTATTTATCTCTTTCCATTATTGAGGGATAGTTTGAGCTTGCCCAAGAATACGAAAGTATAGCATTGTTGTTGTTGGGCTTATTATTTGGGCCCGTTTTCTCCTGCCTATGTGCTTTCTTGAAAATTTTGAGTTGGGCCCATGAAAGAAGTTTCAATCCCTTGGTAACAATTGGTTTCCATTCAATCCGACTTCATAGCTGCATCCAATCTCGAAATAATCTCAATTGTTTCCAACTTTATATTTTTGGAAAAATATCCAATCTCGTCTCAATCATCATTTTTCAGGACTCGATTGAACTCACTCAGGGAGCAGTCTTGTCCAACGGCGTTACAGTACGTCACTTTGACGATATGGCTATTCTCCACTAACCACAAGAATATAGGGACTCTATATTTCATCTTTGGTGCCGAACAACATGTAGGTTAAAAATTCGTACTCGTAAATTTTTAATTTGAGATAGATGTCTTAACTTAGGCTAAGACACTTATCTTGTATTCTTCACTCATTTGTACTAGGAAAAAATGTTTTGTATTTCCAATTTTCTTTTTTCTTATAATTTATTTTCAGGACTCTTAACTTAATTCCCTTCCTTTGTGATATATTATGTACAAGAATAATCGAAAAATCGAGTCAATAAATCACCGAACTAAAGACAACCAATTGATTTGAGAGTATGTTGGTTGGAGGTCGATTTTGCACAACAACCAGTCGATCGATCATATATGTGTGCTTGGCTTTGCACTCGGATAAAAACAAAATGAATTTTAATACAAGATCAAGTGAAAAAATATTAGAATATCCCCTAGCTTCCTCATTAAATTTCTCTCTCTGAGCATCTTAGTTTTCCTCATTAAGTTGCACCCATTAATTCATGTGTTTCCCCTGTGGATGTAGAGCTATATCTACCTAATAAATAATAATCTTTTCTTTTCTTTTTTCTTTTTTTTTTTGATAAAAACATAATAATAAATAAATAAAGATTTAACATTGGTAGTTGTAACTTGTAAGTTGGGAAACACCATTTAAATGAGCATTTCTCCACTCACTCATAATATATTTTTGTTTCTCCTTTTTTTTTCCCTTCTTTTGTTAAGTTATTATTTCTCTTGCTTTCAACCATTACATCACATTTTAATATTTCATCTTTTTTTTTTTGGTGTTTTGGCCTTTTCTTTTATACATAATCTAACTTTAAAAATTATATGGTTACATTTTAGATTAAATTATAAAATTAGTTAGATAGATTGTCTATCAGGTCTCAAACTTCAAATAAATTTCAATATCTAGTTTCAAATTTCAATTTCAATTCTTATGGAAAAAAAAAAGTTAAATGATCCCACTATTTAAATGTTGACGTGACATACTAATAAGACATAGTAAATAATAATTTAAGGAAATATGCAAACTATAACAGAATAAAGGGTGGACGAGAAAAATTGAAACTTTTGGTTTTTGACCCTTATTTTATCTTGGCATATTTACATCGTCACAATCATTGCTCATAAGACTAATGTTTCTTCAACATAGTCTAAGTAACGGGGCTAATGTTAAGGACCTGTGAGATTCGAAAGTAAAAAAGGTAACTATTTAAAAAATTAATCAAAGACAAAACTAAAACAATGATCTAAATGTAGAGACCAAATTAATTATAAGTTAAATTTCAAGTTCAATCTCTAAGTTTAAAATTAAATTTTGTGTCTAATAAAAGTTAAAAAGTTAAAAGTTAAAATTTTTAATTTTGTGTTTAAAAAGTCATTGAATTTTAGGAAGGGTCGAATATGCCAAGAATCTATTAAATACAAAATTTAAAATACATGAACTCATTAGATACAAATTGAAAGTTTAGGACCTATAACACACAAAATATAAAACTTGAAGACATATGTGATATTTTTTAAAATTCAAGAATTTATTAAACACAAGCATAAAAATCAATAGGTTAAACTACTTGTGATTTAACCTAAAATCTAATTTTTAAAAAGGTAAAAAAAAAAACACATTTGATCAATATACTTTCACTCATGTAACGATTTAGTATCCAAACTTTAGTTCGTAATGATTTAGTTCTTATAATTTCAAATTAGTACCAACTTAGGCTTTGAATGTTTTTATGTAATAATTTAGTTTATATAATTTAAAGTTTACAATGATTTAGTCTTTAGCGTGAAAATTTTTGTTAAATTTCTTACGTATGTAGATCGATAAATCGATGAGAGACTAAACATGTTTATAAATTACAAAAAACACTTAATTTTAGTGAGATTTTTCATGGTAGGAACAAAATCGTTACAAATTTTAAACTACATAGATTAAATCGTTATGTACTAAAATTTATGGATTAAACTATTACCGATTCGAAAGTACAAGAATTAGATAGTCACAAACTAAAATTTGCAGGCTAAGTCGTTACGAATTATAACCCAAAAAGAAAATAAGAAACTAAATGATATCGGACACAGACAAAGAGGCAAGCAAGGAAAGTAGGTGGCAGGTGGTGGGAGGAGAGATGGGAATGTGAGAGAGAGGAGGGCCCATCAATTGCTGCGTTCTGAGGATTTCGGGTAACCGAAACCCGCCGAAGGAAACCAAACAAAACCAAACCCACAGCCACAGCTCCACCAAATCTCAGACCCACATCGTCAACACGAAGAACAAGAAGAAGAAGCAGAGGAGTCACACACCCACAACCAGATTTCAATACCAGAGCCGCCAATTATGAGTGGCGCCGCCCCTCTCAACTCCTCCGGCTCTGAATTGGACTTGGATCGCCCCAATATCGAAGATTACTTGCCTTCCGGATCCTCCATCCAAGAACCCACTGGCAAGCTCCGCCTGTAATCTCCCCCCCTCTCTCTTTTTTGTTGAATTGATTGGTTCGATTGTGATTTCTAAGCGATTTCAATGAACCCATGTGCTTGTTTCTCTCTAGGCGCGATTTACTTGATATTTCCCCCACCCTTACCGAGGCTGCTGGTGCTATTGTTGATGTAAGCAAGCCTTTTTCCATCCCATCTTATAATTTCCCATCTCTCTCTCTCTCTCTCTCTCTCATTTTCATTTATGGCGAAGGGGGTTATTGTTTTCATGACTGATTGGGTGTTCCCTTTTCGTCTTGGAAGTTAATTCTTTGGGAAACTGAAAGTTCCCTCGATTTATCTTAAAAAATTGTCCTTGTTGTGCGCAGGATTCATTCACTCGTTGCTTCAAATCTAATCCACCGGAGCCATGGAATTGGAATATTTATTTGTTCCCCTTGTGGTGCTGTGGAGTGGTGGTTCGATATCTGGTTCTCTTCCCGGCGAGGTTAGCCGTTTCCGGTATTTTAAATTTGCAACCCATCATATAAATGCTGCAGTGGTCTGATAATGACATGGTTTCTATTATCAGGCACATATTTCTTATGTTCGTCTGTGTGACTTTCTGTTTTCTTTCTAAATTTTGTTGAGCTAATGGTGCAGGGTTCTCATATTGACTATTGGATGGATCATATTCCTTTCAACATTCATTCCAGTGAATCTGCTACTGAAAGGGCATGATAAGCTGAGAACTAAGTTAGAGGTGTGAATGCTCAATTATATATCTCGCGTGCTTATTCTTTTATTTGTTCTGTTATGTGTTTTACATTTATCCAGTTCCACCACGAGAAGTGTCTTATTAGCATGGTCATTAAATTCTTCTGTGTAATGATAATATATTTCCTTGTTAGAGGTTTTTGGTGGAGTTGATTTGCAGTTTCTTTGTTGCATCTTGGACTGGAGTTGTCAAGTATCATGGGCCACGGCCTAGCATCCGACCAAAACAGGTATTTAGGATTTGGCATTTCCTTTTGCAAATGCATCTTCATATTTCCATTTTTCAAGATTGGAGCATCATTCTCAGTGTTGTATTGTTTTTCTTTCCTTTCCTGATTGAGCAGGTTTTTGTGGCCAACCACACTTCCATGATTGATTTCGTAATCCTGGTGCAAATGACTGCCTTTGCTGTTATCATGCAAAAACATCCTGGGTGGGTTGGTGAGTGCATTTATTGTGCAAAATATTTGAAAAATGAAGATTTAGGTTCTAGACATAAGTCAGGAGTAAGTGAAACTTGAGAGGAGGCACTCTTGCTACTAATAACTATTAGTTCATATTTGTCTATGTTCCAATTAGGATCAGGAACAGTCATGGGCAAAGCAAAGTCCTCTCTATTTGTCTTGGATTAAAAAAGTTATATAAAATGGTCAAGATTTTTAACTTCTTTCTCTAATTCATCCCTAATTTTCAGAATTGAAAGGTTATATATATCAAATTTTAGAATGTAAAATTTTTCTGGCCATAATGGTTATCATTGTAACTTATTTTATGTTATATGTTGTTGAAGGACTGTTGCAAAGCACTATATTGGAGAGTATAGGATGTATATGGTTCAACCGTACCGAGTTGAAGGACCGTGAAATTGTAGCAAAGAAGTAAGTGTACACTGTACAATGGGAGCACAAGACTAATATACACTGGTTATTAGTGGAATGATTATTTGAATTTTTTCCCTTTTAGGTTAAATGACCATGTTCAAGGGGCCGACAACAATCCTCTTCTCATATTTCCTGAAGGAACTTGTGTAAATAACCATTACTCAGTTATGTTCAAGAAGGTATTGCTCTTCTTCGACTTCATGAATTTGCTGCCAAATAATTGGTAACCTTAAAGTTCGAAGTACATGTAGGTCAATAAGCTATTTATCGGTCCAGTTTTCTTGATTTAGCTATTTTTTAGGTTACTTTTTATTTATTTGATTTGCTATATGATATCAGGGTGCATTTGAACTTGGATGCTCTGTTTGCCCAGTTGCAATCAAGTACAACAAAATTTTCGTTGATGCTTTTTGGAACAGCAGGAAGTAAGGAGCTTTTTGTGGTGGAATATTGCATGTGTTATTTGATTAGTTTTTGTTGATAGAAACTTAATTCCTGTTTGATAGTTGAGGTAAGAAACAAAACATTTTTGGAATTTATAAAACACGTTTGACAACTTCTTTGTTTAGGAAACTTCAGAAAGATAAAATGCAAAAGAAAAATAGTATTTCTTGTATTTAAAAGTGATGTTTGTGTGCGGTAATGTTATCAGTATTGGTTGTGCTTAGTAACTTGATTTGCTATACATATAGGTATAATTTTAATAGATTGAGGTATAAACAGAGAATATCATTCTAAATAGTTTTTAGAAAATCAAATTAAAAAATGAAAAGGAAAGAAAACAGCCTAAAGAAACCACAAAATGGTCTGATAGCTTAGATAATAAACTTATGCTCCTTAGAAAATGAGTAGAATCTTGATGGAGTTTTTGGCACTGCAGTAAAGCATGCAATATTCTGAAGTAACTCGACGTTTAGTTGTGTCCCCGAGTCTGCACTTTCTGGAAAAGATGAAAATTCAGTTAACACATAGAAGTTGCCAAAATGTAATCTATGTGCCCATGCACAATTTTTAACAATAAAATTTTGTCTATGGTGGTATATTTGCATATGTTTCTGCAGAGTTCTAATGGCATATTTAGGTTGTTATACATTAGCATGGAATTGATTATATTGGGTAGATGATTGCTAGCAGGGGTGGAGCCAAGAAAGGAGGGGGCAGTTGCCCCGAAGCTGTCTAAACTCAAAAAGTACATATAAAATACTTAAAAGATTGTGTAGTTTGTTTCTAATCTCCCAAATTTTTAGAATTGAAAGATTATGGACATAAGTTAGAATGTAAAATTTTTGCCCCTTCTAAGAAAATTTTTGGCTCCACCCTGAATTCCCAGACTGCGTGCCCTTTTTCAGGCAGTCATTCACCATGCATCTCCTGCAGCTTATGACCTCTTGGGCTGTTGTTTGTGATGTTTGGTATCTGGAGCCCCAAGTTTTGAAGCCTGGAGAAACAGCCATCGAGTTTGCTGAGAGGTAACCCTGCTTTCCATCTGCAATGCTATAGCCATTTGTTTTCATATTACCGACGTGAGGCTCTGTTTTTTCTTTATTTAACAGGGTCAGGGACATAATATGCACCCGGGCAGGTCTTAAGAAGGTTCCATGGGATGGATACTTGAAGCACTCCCGCCCAAGCCCAAAATACCGAGAGCGGAAGTAAGCCTCCTTCCTTCTGTTACTTTATCTTGCTTCCTCCCAACTTCTTAATCATTTAGTCTTGTTAACTTCCAAACTTTCGCCCTGGCCATGTGTTTCTTTCATGAATTGCCTCACTGGCCTTATTATTCTCAGGCAGCAAAGCTTCGCAGAGTCGGTGCTGCAGCGATTGGAAGACAAGTGATATGACATGTACATCAGCTTTTCTAGTCTTCAACTGCATTTACCCTTGAATACAAGGTTCCTGACATGCACCTACTTATCGGATTCGAGGATGCACTCCAGGTGAGTCGGAATCTTCTTTCGGGGATGCAACCGTGTACTTGCTAAATGCGTAGTTATTTGCCTTGACATAAATTGAACGCAATGCAGTGTTTGGCTTTGTTAAGCAAGCTTCAATTTTTGCAGAATACCTTATTTGAATACGTCTTCATATTAAGAGTTTTAGAACAATATTACGAGAAGAGTTCTATGTTGTGCTTTGTAGTTCTCTGTAATGAGCTTCCTGGTTTTGCTCTGTATGAGCCTAAATTTTACTGTTCTCTAGCCGCCTTTTGAACTCTGAAGCCCCCACCCCCCATCTGTATGTGGTTGGAAGTGCTTAAATAGGTTCGAGACCAACTATTCTTGGCAAAAAATAGGATGAGTATCTGAGCCAATTTACATACACCACGACTAAGCTGGACTTGTTTGACTCTTACTACATTTGGTTGCTAAAGAAATTTGTAGGATTTTAACTCCAAGTTTAAGAATTTTTATTTTGAGCGATATGAATGGTGCAACGAAGAAACATCGAGAAGAAATTGCGACGTTTCGCTATGTTTAAAGAATACTGACCCTTTCATATTTCCTAATAGAATTTTAATCTTTTTATAATTTAGAATTATGAAACTACTGTCAAACGTAGGGAGTAGGGATTAGGAATGTTGTTTTTAAGGATAAATTAATAATTTTACTAAGAACTCAAATTTCTATAAATTAATAATTTTGTTAAGAACTCAAATTTGAAAAAGTCTACTTCTTTTTTAGCGGGAATAGGAGTGTTTTATCTCTCATGGGTAGGTTCCCTAAACACGGCGAGAAATCTTCAATTAGGCTCGTCGTGGCGGATGGGGACATTTTGTGTGTTGTTCCCATCTCTTTTGTTGGATACGTACGTATACGTGTTTGTATGATCCCTACAAGATTTCATGGAAAATTTTGCAAATATTGGTTTTCAATTATTTCTGTATGTTATTTAAATTTCAAAAACTGTATATTGTTGACTTTACTTATAAATTTATGAGGGAGGAATTTCTTGCATAGTTGCACATCAATTTATAGCTTGATGACTATTGACTTCATAAGGAAAAAAAAAAAGATAATTTGTTTAGTTTACAACTTTATCCTTCTTTGAACTTGAAATGATTTTAAATTCAATTTTGATGTTTCATACTAATTCTATTTTTAGTTTTTGAACTTTGAAATATATATTTAGTAATGTTTCCCACTACTAAGTTCCATCACAATATTAGTGTAAATTCTTCTAAATTTCAATTTGGTTTAAACTTTTAATTCAATTTAGTCAAATCTAATACATCATTCTAGCAATTACTAATATTGAATTTGCTGACTAATCTAAGTTTGGGATTGACCCATTTAAAAATATTTTATGAGGACTCGCAAAATTATAAATGTCAAATTTATGTTAATCTCAAACTATAGAGATCAAATTGAATTTTTTTAATGTAGACTAGGAAAGATATTTATTAATGTTTAAAAAATTAATAATTTGATTTCTACTCTATAATTATAGATTAAGTCTAAATTATGGAGATGAAATTCAGAAAGGTTTATTTGAATTTATTAATATTTGTTAACTAAAAAATGATTTTATAAAAACAATATAAAACTATTTATAGATGCATGCGGAGTTTTTCTTTTTTCTTAAAATGATAATAATAATAATATGATGAATTATTTGCAGAAAAGAAGAATTTTCAGCTTCAGCTTAATCCAATTTCTGAGAAATTTCTCCACATTAATAAAGCTTCCTTCATTCTCTTCCATGGCGGCTTCCAGTTCTCTCTCTTCATACCTTTAAATTTCCCACTCTATGGTCCACGTCCTTTCCCTAGCTTAATTCCGCTTCTTCGACTTTTTCCTTCTCTTTCCCATTTGAAAACCGCGTTTTCCCCACCCTCCGTCCGCCATTTATACTGATTCAGAACCTTGCAACTGCGAGGAGACGGGAGTAATGGTACCTTATGGAACTCGGACCATGCTTTTCAGGCTGCTCGTTTTGTCTGCCATCGCTGCCGTATCAACAGCCCAGCCGCCGCCGCGGTTCAACTGCAGCTCGGCCTTGAAATGCCGCTCTCTGATCGACTACACGCCGCCAAACGCCACCACCATCGCCGCCGTGCAGAGTCTCTTCGAAGTCAAGCACCTCCTCTCCTTCCTCGGCGCCAACAACCTTCCTAACGATACCTCGCCGAGCTCGCCCCTACCGGCGTCTCAGAAGATCAAGATTCCGTTTCGCTGTAAATGCGGCAACGGCACCGGTCTCTCGGATAAGCATCCAATTTACAAAGTCCGGAGCGGCGATTCGCTCGACAAAATCGCGGAAATCACTTTCTCGAGACTGGTCACTTTCCATCAAATCGCGGACGCCAATGGAATTCCGGATCCGAGTAAAATTACGGTAGGGCAAGAGCTGTGGATCCCCCTGCCGTGTAGCTGCGATGAAGTAGATGGGAACACAGTCGTCCATTACGGACATTTGGTTCAACCACAGAGCTCGGTATCTGCCATTGCCGGAAGGTATAACGTATCGGAGCAAACAATTTTGAACCTGAACGGAATTGCGGACGCGAAAGACCTTCAAGCTTTTCAAGTTCTCGATATTCCCCTTCAAGGTTTTTTCCTCTTCCTCTTCTTCCTTCCGTTTTCTTCTTCTGAATTTCGCTTCGCTTTTGAACCAGAAGCTATGGTGGAAACTGAAATTGATGATTGATTTAATTTAACAAATTTGGATGAAATTTAGGGTTAAATTAGCTCAGTTTTACAGTCCTAATTAAATTCTGAATATATGACTGTGAGAGAAGAAAAGTCAATTGCGTTTTTCTTGCTGGGGACTTCTTGAGTGAAGGATTTTTTTTATCTGAAGACTGAAGAAAAGAGAGAAAGAAAAGTCTTTTTGCTTTTTGCTTTTTGCTTTTTGCATTTTGCATTTTGCTTGTTGTCTTATGCTTCCTAAAAAAAAGAAAAAAAAAACTTACTATTAATGTCAAAATAAATAGGTATATGTAAAAGCATTTTGGAATCCTAGGCTAGCAATTTTAAAAAAACAAAACTATTAATGTCAAAATAATAAATTAATATTGGAACCTTTTGGTTTTATTGAATCAAAAACTTCAAAAAATAGGAAAAAAAAAATCAAAACCCTATTTAATATAATTTGTCTTTTTTTAGAAAATATTTAATATAACTTTTTTTTAGAACTATTTAATATAATTTGTTAATAACAAAGTGTTCAGGAAACATATAATATGGGAGGGGGGAATTATATTACGTTCTAAAAATAAATAGGTACATATGGAAAGGAAAGGTAGTTTTCTTTGCAGTCTTTTTACTTAAGCAACAAGTGGGGTAGAGATTCCAATATCCGACCTTCTGGTTGAGATTATAATACTTAAACCAATTAAGAGCCCTTGATCGTTGTTTATTTTGTTGTAAAGGAAAAAGGTGTTTATAATTACATACCAAAATAACTTCTTTTACAGGGTAATTGTTCTTTGTTTGTCTTTATATATATATATAAAGATTGAGAATATTTAAATTGTTTTTCTCTTATTTACCATTATTATTTTTGAGATTTTTTTTACATGTAAAAACAATTGATATAGTTAGAACTTAACAAAAAAAAAAGAATTGTGTAGTTAGAAGGTATAATTTTGCTCCAACTCATCTGCATATTTCTCCCTTCCTCCTCCAACAGAAATTGACGAGTTGTGATGAATTAATTTTGGTATTACCGAGGAAAGAGATGATGGAGTTTTGGTAATTTAGCAGGCTAAAAGAAGCTTTGTGCATAATTCAACAATTAAGTCATTAGTAATTGAAGGTGGAAAGTTGGAATCTCCATCCTGTTGAGTTATTTTGCCAAGTATGTCTATCTGGTCAACGTCAACCTCAGGACACTTGTATTTTATTTATATGTAGATTCCTCAAAGATCGAAGGTTGTGTGGTTTTATCCTGATATTAAGGATTTCATTGTTCTCTTGTTGAATTTGGGACAATGACTGTTCTTGACTTTGTTGAGTACTAATTTAATGTTGTCTGAGACAGTACATAGTTCAGTAGTTTTATATTAACTAGCAGATAGTTTGATGTCACACTGAGTTGCAGGTTTTGACATTTAAAAAAAAATTGTAAGTGAGAGAGAATGCCTTCCTCATCATTGCTATATTGCTGATGTCTTCACAGTTTACACCCTATTAACAGACATGGTTGGCTCTTGTTGGGGACCAAATTCTCCATAGAAGGTGGGTGAAGGGTAGTTTTGGTATTTTGTTAGTGAAGAGAGAGAAAATGGACAAAGTCAACCAAAAAAATGAAAGCTAAGGTGGAAGTGAGAGAGAATAAGAAATAGCATTATGATCTTATCCATCCAAATCAGACATCATTAAAAACAGACCATTTGCGAGAATACACACAGAAAATAAGAAATAACAATCTTTAGGAAACAGTTGTTTGAACATATTATTACAGAATTTTTGTTATAAAACCAAAAAACTGTTTAGAACACAGTTTCCAAACAACCCATCAGTATATAAAAGATAAATGATAAATATTTTCCAAGAGGCTAGTTTTCTTTTCCACCTTATTTATTGTCGATGAAATGGTCTGTTGTCTGTGTGACCTTTTCTCTAAACATCCACAGTTCTCTCTAGATTGTCTTCTTTAAGATGTCAAATTTTACTATCAAGTTAACCTTTTACTGGGCATGAATCATGATGATCCTTTCACCTTGTCAATCCGATGCTGGACTGTACAATCCTTGTCAATATGATAAAATATTATGTCATTCATTTATTGATGGAGATAGGAAAAGGTTTATGAGTCGACTAGCCGTACACTGAAGATATAATTTTCATCGCTACCATCATTGTCACTGAAGATTTTTTATACGTTCAACAAATGCGATTACTACTATTTGTTTGGCCTATGAAGTTAACTATTCTGAGTTCTATCTGCAGCTTGTTCATCTGTGATCAGGGAAGACTCTTTAGACTTCCCGTTCCTCCTCTCGAACGACACGTACGATTACACTGCAAACAACTGCGTGATGTGCAAGTGCGATGCTGTGAAAAGCTGGACGTAAGTGTCATAGTGAATAATTTTTTTACTGAGAACTTGTTTGTTTTAACTTCTAAATAATTGAAGGTAGCTAGAGCTGGTGAGCTTAATTCTTTTGCTTTCATGGTCAGTCTTGAATGTAAGCCATCACAGCTGAAGGCACCCTCACAGAAGTTATCTAATTGGTCATCATGCCCAGCCATGGAATGTGAAGGTGGCAGTTTGGTCCTTGGTAACTCAACATCCTCTGGTTGCAACACCAATACATGTGCCTATGCTGGTTTCTCTAGCCAAACCATCTTCACAAATATTTCCACTCTCAACACTTGCCCTGGACCTTCTCCTGATGGTGAGCTGCAAACTTGACTCTACTGAAGTAATTTGGTTTGAATGATGTTTTGGGAGTGCTTTTTCCTATGTCAAAAGTACTTTTATGAAGTCACAGCACTTCTCAAACTTCCCACTCAAAATCATCATGTTTGGGAGTAACATATAAAAATACATCTAAAAGAGCACCCTACTGCTGCTTTGCTTTTCACTTTTTCAAAAGTACACCTTATAATAGTCTTATGTGAGAAAGCACTTGAAGAATACTTTTGGCTTGAGTGCTTGGTCGAGAAGCACTTTAAAAACATTTTTTAAATGTATAAAACCAAACATCACTTCCAAACACATCTTTATAACTGCTAAATTGATAGCTAATTCAGAATAATGTTGGTTTGAGCTCACTTTTTGTTTTGAAAAAGTCAAAAGTTATTTTGTGAGAGATCATTAGGAAGGTGCTTTTTGGCCTAAGTTCTGGGTCGGGCATGAAAATGATTTGTTATTAATCACTTTTTATCTGGAATTTGACTGTTCTCTATTTCTTGTTCCTGTATAAGCAGATAATCCAAACAGTGCTTCAAGGACGGTTTCGCAGAGTTTGTCCTACCTTGTCGCCTGTATTCATCTACTGGCTTATGGTCTTCTCCTCATTCATAAACAAGTATAATTTTCTTCTCCCATGTCATTATAGAGATATAATCACAATGTACGTAGGTTCTCAATGTTCTCTATTTATCACGAAATGGCTATCTTTTAGTTTTTTCTTTCTTTATTAGCATTGATTAACCATGTCTTGAAGTCGAAATAAATCTCGTCACGCCGGGAAAATGTGGGAATGGGTGAACTGGACTAGAAAAGAAGGTTAGCGTGGCTGTGAATTTGATTTTCATCTGTAATGTCTTGAACAGTTGAAGTTAGTTGATGAGCGTATTGTGTCGTGGGATCAGATTGTTGCAGGAATAAGAATGAGGCTTTTTCCTTAGCTCTGTTTTATTCTTTTCTATTTTTACAAAATGAAACACTGTTTTAATTATAAAGTTTTGTTTGATCTTGATAGGTTAATTTTTCAATTTTTCAATGCAGAAAAAGAAAAATATATATACATATATATTATAGAATTCGAACCTGCAATCATTTAGAAGAACTTTAATTTTGAGTTATGCTAACATTGGACATTGATTACTTTTTCTGGTATAGAGTAAATTTGATTTAAGAATGTTATATTTAAATAAATATAAGACGTAGATGATGTAATGAAACAAAATAAAGATATATTTTGTAGAGTTATGCAGGTGTGATCACTACTAGGTTTTAAATTCTTACAATTTGAATATTATTTTTTATTCACATTGTCTAATACATGTTTTTTTTTTGGAAACATAATATATGGGTTATTAATGGGTTATTAATGACATTGTCCGACATAGTTCTACATTAGTCATAGAAGATAGGGATTTTTTTTCTTTGAGATTCGAACCTCAAATCTTTTAATTGAAGAAATATGTCTTAATCAATTAAGTTATGTTTAAATTAACGAAGGTTAAAAGATCCATGGTATATTAGAAAATATTAACATCCCAATTAATACGAGACGTTTTAGATAAAATCAAAAGTCGTTTCATGGTATGTTTGAACTTCGAATATCCACAGTTTGTGATAATATTACACAATATATATATATATTTTATTATTAAACTTTTAGGCCCATTTTTCCAATCCTAACGCATTTAAAATGGAAAAGATACTGCTAAAGCAAGCATAACTCAACCGTTCCGATACTCATCCTACAATTGTTGATTAAAAAAATAAATAAAGAACTTTTAGGCTCATTTCGACTATAGGACTTCTAAAATTTTTATTTTGATCCTTCCATGTTAAAAAATTACAATTTTTTTTTTGAAAATACAATTTTTAGTTTTTTAATTTCTGCATTGACAAATAGATAGGTGGCTTAACAGGTTAATATGTATAAATATTACTATTAGTGTAGGTTGATGTAGGTGAATATTGGGTGAGCATATCAGCAAAGACCAAAGTGGTTAATTATTTGAAAGTTCGTAATACTAAAATAGTTGTTGTACTAACATTTAGGATAAAAACAGATATTTGAGTAAAAAAAAAAGGATAAAAACATATATTTTAAAGGATATTTTTAATGGATAGCAAAATATTTGTCATATCTTTGCAAAYGTAGTAACAATCTTTTGGTTTTGCAAATATAACAAAATTTTTAAAATCAAAATTTTCGTTTCTTTGAGATCGAACTCTCATTCTTATGATTGTAGGTATATGCCAATTATCGTTGAGCTATGCTCGCTTTGATTTAATTTTACCATCATTATTGACATATTTTATATCATGTAYATTAATAATATAATAGACACACCTAATATAAAGTATATCAATCACACTAATCATATCTTCTATAATTTAGATCGAAGATTTTGGTTTAAATAACATAATAGRTTTCTTAATRATATACTTAACAGGAAAGTCTATCACTGGTATATTTGATATTCGGTACATAAATTATATAATTAATATACCAAATATAGATATAATTGATGTACCAATACTCAATACTAAATATATAAGTTTAAGTGATGGTAAGTTTTTTATTGGAATATAAAGTATATYGTAAGTTTCTTGTATTTTTTTAACCGTTAAAAATAGGTCATTTCTTACCGATTAAAATATCCAAAAATTTTCAGTAATGTTAATTTAAAGTGGCGAATTTCCCCTGGTTCTATCGATACCTCCGTTGGGTGCAATGTATTTATTTTATTATTATTATTTTTAACTTTAAAAACAGAATTCAATTCATAGCTTTCTTTCCTTAATCCTCTCACTTCATCTTCAACTTTGACTCCATTTTTCTTCTCTCTGTGCCTTCGCGCTTCCACCCCGGATTGAAAATCGGCGTTCGTTTCATCATCTTCCATGGAATTATCCTCCTGAAACCCTAACCTGATCCGGACTTCCAACGAGGCAAGTATTTCTACACTCCACTCCATTTCTTTCATCTCTTGGTTTTCCAGATATCCGGCCTCTGCCAGTTCTTCTAAACTTCGGCTTCTTGTAACGTTCGTCAATCCTGCTTTCTTGCGGTGGGTTTTTCTTTCTTCTTCATTTATGTTTTTGCAGTTCGTGGTCTGTTTCTTCTTATACGCTTTGAATTCTATGTGTCGTTGGGGTGGATTATGAAAATGGGATGATCATTGCAACGTTTATTTATTGCTTACTTTTGAGGTTTATCTCTTTGACGTTTACGACCGAATTTGCAGAGCTTCAATTGGAAATGGCTTGTCAAGTCGGTGACGGGACAGTTTCTAGTGGTTTGGCTCGAATTGTAGGGAAATGTAAAACAATTGGTGATAAAACGCGGTCGTCGTTTTTGACATTAAAGCATGGAGAAGTTCGTGTTACGTCCCAACTTAATCGCAATTGCAAGGTTTTGTGTAATCGAAATGGAACTGGAGATTGCCGTTTGTCCACAAGTTGTAGACGCAATGGCCTGTTCATTCCACCTGTTGTACACCGCAGAAATGTCCGTTTTATTGTGGCTAGGAATCAGTTGAGCTCAGATTGTGGGGTGGATTCCTCGGAAGTGAAGGAAAGTTTGTGTCTAGAAGAAGATGATGCGAATTCAAGGGATCGGAATGGCGCAGCGTAAGAATTCTAGACTGCCTCCTTGTCAGCTGAATTGTGATAGATTGATTGATTGATTTTTTTTTCGCCTCATTACTTTAGAAAGTATCATATGAAATAAGATAGCCTGTATGAACTGGCCGATTTTCCTTGCTTCCATGCAGCCATTGGAAAGAACTTCCCCACCATCACCAACAGCCTGTGGACGTTAAGCGTGAGCTTCTAGTTCTATGCGCACCTGCAATTGCTGGACAAGCTATTGAACCGTTTGCACAGCTTATGGAAACTGCTTATGTTGGAAGATTAGGCATGTATCTTCAAACGTTCCTATACTCTTTATTTTTAGTTTCCATATTTCTATTTTTCACTGTTTTACGTCCTATTCAATAGAGATATATGTCGCATAAAATTGTGCTCAAGTTAGTCTGCTTRTGTTATTCTATTTATTTTGCTTGCTTGGTCTGATTATTCCAAGAATAATTCTGTTGCTTGCGAGCTTAGACTTTGGAGACTTTCATTTGAATGGACAAACTAAGAAGTTTGAAGTGGCTAAGTAAGTTTTTTTAAAATTATTCTCAGAAGAAATTCTTCATTATTTGATTAATTTGTATTCAAAACCTTCATTCATGGTCGTGTGTGTGCGCTCGAGGAATTTCTAATTTATTCTTTCACACATTGATTGATATCTGTTTACTTAATTGATCAATTAAGCTGTTAGGTTACGAGGTTGATGGAAATTCTTGGATGGAAACATCCTTATATAACCAAATGGGAAAGGTCCTATTTATTGGGTTAAGTTGCATTAATCTAACTTCTGTGCTTCTTCCCTCCACCAGCTGATGTGATGCGATAAATGCTACTTTCTGCATTGCAGTATTTTCTAGTGTTTTCATACTTGTCCATTTTCAACATTTGTGCAGGTGCCTTGGAGTTGGCTTCAGCTGGTGTTTCTATAAACATATTTAACTACATATCAAAGGTTTTTAATATACCTCTACTGAGCGTAGCTACTTCTTTTGTTGCTGAGGATATTGCAAAGCTTGCCATTGAAGATCCTCCGTCAGGTTCTTTTGGTATTTCACGTGTACAAAGTTTTGTCCTGGAGCTATAGTTGAAGGTTTTTTGCTTGCAATCTTTTATGTTGACATCTGACATAAAACTACTTTTTCATTCTAAGTAGATTCCTTAGAAGGCTGTCCTGATTGTAAACTTGTTGCTCGGTCATCTGAGAGAAAGCAATTATCTTCAGTATCTACAGCCCTATTGTTGGCAGTTGGAATTGGACTTTGTGAGGCTTTGGCGTTGTATTTTGGATCTGGAATATTTCTTAATATCATGGGCATTTCTCCAGTAAGTAAAAATTGCAAGCCAGCTTATGCGATGCTTTATGAGCTGTATAGATTTACATGCTCCTTCACTTGTATTATTGACATATTGTTTGAGTGTCTTATCACAGAATGTAAATTTATCAGGAACAGAGATTTATTTATTTGCTCTTAATAATCTTTTATCTTTATGATCTTTTGAATATGTTGATTATTTTGTTAACAGGAGTCGTCCTTGCGCATTCCAGCCCAACAATTTCTTTCACTTAGAGCCCTTGGTGCTCCTGCTGTTGTTCTTTATTTGACTCTTCAAGGAGTTTTTCGGGGTTTTAAGGATACCAAAACTCCTGTTCTATGTCTAGGCACGCATCTAGTCATGAATCCTAGAATTATATTAATGGTGGAATTTATTTTTAAGCAATTCCTCTTTTCATTTTTTTATTTCATCTGCCTGCTTAAATTTGTATTCTTCATTCACAGGAATTGGCAATTTATTAGCTGTCTGTCTTTTTCCAATATTAATTTATCATTTTCAATTGGGCGCAACTGGAGCAGCAATTTCCACTGTTGTGTCTCAGTATGTTCACTTCTAATTGAACTTCTTCCTCTATTTTCAATCATAGCCTCCAAACTTATCAAATCTATCTTTTAGATATGCGATTGCCTTTTTGATGTTATGGTTTCTCAATAAAAGAGCTTTACTACTGCCGCCAAAGTTTGGGGCATTGCAGTTCGGTGTGTACATGAAATCTGGTAATTTTAGAATTCTTATCTTCTTATACTTCATATCTTGTAAAAAAATGTATTATGACTGTTCCCGGGAGTAATCTTTTCATTATGCTTTATTCACAATGCAATGGTCAACACTGGCCTTGGTTTCTCTATGTTTACTAATAACAGCACCTGTAAGAAGAGAGGTCTGACGCAATCTTATGAGAAGGAAATGAAAAAATCCTATCAAACATGAGATAGCCATCAGCAACGTCAATAGAAATCATTTTATAGTAATTTGTATTAAGTCAAATGCTGGAAGCCATAAACTTAAAAGCCATTTATTTTTGTTTTTGGAATGTTTACCCTTGAAATTTTCTGTCTTATATGCATGGAGGAATCATTCCAATTGTCCGTATATTTGTTCTAGAACTATTCACATCCCTTCAATTCCAAAATAGTAGTACATATCGCATTATTCAAAATCAAGAGAAAACTGGAACCTACGCAATTGGATCCATGCTGCATTTGGAGTTTCCATCTTTTCCTTCTCTTTTTTGTATTCTATAATGATTTGGAGGCTGCTATTAGGTGGTTTTCTTCTTGGAAGGACTCTTTCTGTTTTAACCACTATGACGTTGGGCACATCAATGGCTGCACGTCAAGGTGCAGTGGCTATGGCTGCACACCAAATATGCATGCAAGTATGGTTAGCAGTATCTCTTCTTACTGATGCACTTGCTGCTTCTAGCCAGGTACATATCTTTTGTTTGCTCTTTTCAACTTTTAATACACAGATTCTCTGGCAAGGGCTTGGGGCCTCTTGGTTATAGTCTAAAGTTCGAATCTTCCGCTGAGTTTAATACCAAAAAGTCTTGATGTCTCTCTGGTCCGGGTCTTGGGACGGGTGTGGGTGCCCCTGGGTATAGGGGAACAAAGCTCCGACTCCCAGTTATTGGAAAAAAAATACACAGAATGTTCTCTTTTAACTTCTATTGTTGCACTAGGACGAAGACAGTYTGATTAGATCTTGGTATCACCTAGACCTTCACTTTTTATACCCTTATTTACCAGTTATCTTTTATTCTAACAATCAATAAAAAATATTATTTTATAAGAAAACCGTCGAATTTGTTAAGAGCATACAGAACTAAGCGAGCGTTCTTTCAAGGTGAGAGTGAAAGGCAAGCTTAGATTTTTCCTCCTGAAACTTTCAATCCTTAAATACAAAAATAAATCAGGATAAACATTGGTTACTGTAGTCCCAATTTTCTTTATTGCTCATATTGTCATATGTTCTTCAAATAATGATCTAAAAATTTGAGGTTTCCGCATTAAATAATCAGTATGATATTTCACCCTAGCTTTATTTGTTTTCTCTGATCTTGAAATAATCTATCTTGATAGGCCATGATCGCAAGCTCTGTATCAAAAGGTGATTACAAGACTGCAAAGGAAGTAACTGGCTTAGCCTTAAAGGTACAATTTTATGTGTGCGTTTGAGTTTCTATACTTTCCACTTTTCACTTAGTAATGAGAAGTCTTGGGGCTAGATATGATATTTCTCAAATATTAGTTTTATATAAATTTATGTGTACCGTACAGATAGGATTGCTCACTGGAATCATATTATTTGCAATTCTTGGGTCATCTTTTGGTTCTCTTGCCACCTTGTTCACCAAGGACGCTGACGTTTTAGGAATTGTTAGAACTGGAGTCCTGGTAAGTTATACAATTCTGTGGTGGTGGATTTTACTAATTTGTGTCGCTGTGACGAATTGTGAATCTTCTTATTCAATGCTTTCATGAAATTTCTACAGTTCGTTAGTGCCACTCAACCTTTGAATTCTCTGGCATTTGTTTTTGATGGTCTGCATTATGGTGTTTCAGACTTCCCATATGCAGCTTGCTCAATGGTAAACAGTTTCTATAATCAAATTTTTTCTTTTAACAAGATACGAACTTTTCATTGAAATTAAATATCATATATTTTCCTAAAGGTATGACCTCTCATTATATTGTTAATTACATTCAGATGGCGGTTGGGGTCGTCTCTTCTTCCTTTTTGCTATGTGCTCCTTCCATTTGGGGTCTTCGCGGCCTGTGGTGGGGCTTGTCTCTCTTTATGGGCCTGCGTACTGCAGCTGGTTTTGCCAGGTAGAGTCAGTCTCTCACTCATTTTCATTTTTGTGAATTTTTTAACAATCATCGAGGAATGTGAGGCACATTAAAGAACACAATGGCTCCAAAGTGAGGCGCACAACAGAAAAATATAAATATCTTCTTTTATACGTGATAAAATACAGTACTAGGTGTGTGCTTTTTAAAACGGAAAATACTTGGCTCCTTATTACCCCATTATGAGCATGAAATGAAGCAAGTATATCATCTCTCTCTCATAAACTCGGGGCCGACGTTACTGCATCTATCAAAATAATACTAGAAAGGGATGATCTGAAAATCAGATTGTGGCCCTGGTTTTCAAGTGATTCTCTGAAGACGTTTATAACTTGGTTTTTTATTGTTTGATTATGCAGATTGGTTTCCAAAAATGGTCCATGGTGGTTCCTGCATAGTAATTTCCAAAATACCAAGGTTCGGACATCCCCATAGCTTTCTTATAATGGTTTCAAACTTCTTAATGTCATCATTTTCTAATTCTTAAAAGACTTTTCTTTTAAGGTCTCTCATTCCAGCCTCGTATTTTCTCATTTTGTTTTTTATCCCACAATTTTTTCATTCGATGAATGGGTCTTCTTTAACTGGTAATTTTCATAGCAATTTTACCTTTCCATGTGCAAGGTGTTTTAATCTGATGAGTTGGAGATGTCCACTTATAAAATCGAAAATCTACTCACTTTACGTGACCTCTACCGCTAATAGCTTATTCGACTCGAGTCGTTGCATGGCAGTTCTCCCCCTTTCTCTCTCATCCTCGCATTCTCTCCATTCCCCACTCTCGCTCTCTCGACGCATGGTACAATACAAGCAGAAGCTTGTGACTTCATTAATGAAGTTCTGGCAGCAATGCTCTATCTCTCTAAATTACATGCATAGCCTTAGAAGAGCTCTAGAAAGAGAATTCTGGTTTTGGGTCATGTTTGGATTCAGAAAATTGGAGTTATAAAGGTCTTGTGATAAATCTACTAAAAGAGGTAAAAATATATATATAGCTAAGAGAGCTTGGGAGTGCCATCAAGTTAGATTGTCCACCGACTTAATGTAGCGGTCACGTAATACAATAATACTTTTAATTTTTGTTTAAATTTGTTCTACTCTTAAAATGTTCATTTTGATCTTTGCTCTTAACAAAAGTGACTATTTCGGTCTTTATTTTAAAATTTCATCGTAACTTTTCTTTAATACAAATTTAGAGTTAGAAATTTTGTGGGTAAAATGTCAGGCTAGAATATTGATTGAAAGAAATGAGATAAAATTAAAGATGAACGAATCAAAATGGTYTCTTTTTAGAAGTGTATGGACCAAAACAAACGTTTTGTAAGTACAWCATAAAAATGAACAAAAGTTGAAAGTTTTCTTCMAAGTATAGGAATCAAAATATATAAAAATTGCATTTGAACCTTAAAAGTAATATAAAAGCAGCATATCATTGCCCTTTCTATCAATGTTACAAAATTCATGTATAAAAGTCCAATTAACTTATTGCTATTTTCATCATTGAAATTTTGAAATTTAAAAATGAGGTTAAAATATTATTTTGGTTATACTTTTAGTTTAGTTTATTGGGTGTACTTTTAAAATATTTGTTTTGGTATATGTACAACTTTGGTTCATTTTAATTTATATTTTCAATATATTCGTTTTAATCCTTATATTTTTAAAATGTGACAATTTTGATCCCTTAATTTAATTTTTAATCTCTTTTTTTATTACAATTTCAATACAACATTACACTTAATATATTTTTGAAATGTAACTATGATTTTATATCAAAAGATTTTTACTATGTGTAGACTTGTGTTAAACTTTTGTAAATAGAAATTAAAATAGTTACTTTTAGAAATTACAGGGATGAAACAAAATAACCATTTCAAAATTTATTTGGGTTGTTGAGTTCATGTTTACTACAGCCTTTATAACGGTATAGTTTTTGAACAAAGGAGTTGTGCTACTATTGTTAAAGTCCGGGGCACTTCAATTTGGCGAATAYATGAAATCTGGTAATTTTTTAACACTGCTTTTTATACAACATATAGGATTGAGAGATCGAACTCACAACTTCTTGRTTTGAGATATATRTCAATTACCGTTGAACTATATTCGTTTTGACGCTCCTTCCTTCATTTACTTCTTGTTTTCAGAAAAAAGTTTGATATGATTTGAAATATGTTCCTAGGAATAATCCTCTTTATTAATCCGTTTGTTACAATGCAGTGACCTGATAGGCCTCCAAAAGTATTTATTCTGTTAGAGTAGTGGGCCCAAGTTATTTAGATCATTAGAGATAGGCAATATGGTAATTGGGCAGTATTTATTTATTTATTTTTAAACAAACAATAACATACTATGTGAAAGTGAGGGCTAATGCTATTTTAGTAAAGAAGTAGAAAAAATGATGTCAAAACACAAGATTGCTATCAGCAACATCAATAGCAATCATTTTAGAGAAATTTGTATTAAGTCTAATTATAATCCAAATCAATAGACTTAAAAGCCAGTTATTGGAGAGTACATTTGTAATCTCTTTGGATTTCTAAAGTGAGAATATTGGTGCTGCTGGATCTATTTGTTTGGAGTATCGGAAATGAAAGAAATCAACTAGTTTTCAACACTACAACTCTTTTTTTTTTAATATTTTTTTAATCAAAATGTAAAAATTAACACAACTTCTTGAAGAGATTCTTTTTAATTACAGTTTAACATTGATTTCTCAAGCTTTCCAATGCGTTAGTACTTATGGACATTGCCCATCGATATATTACGTTGATGATTACTCTGGCCTAGTTTAACTAATTAAGTTCTCCCACCCCACCCCATAATTTATTGATTGGAGGTCTACTATTAGGTGGTTTTCCATCTATCTTCTAACTACGATGACGGTCGAGACGTCGATGGTTGCTCATCAAAGTGTCGTGGCTATGGTTGCACACCAAATATGTATGCAAGTATGGTTAGCAGTATCTATTCTTATTGATGCTCTTGCTACTTCTAGTCATACGTATAATTTCTCCCCCAATTTTTGTCTTTTGTCTCAACCAACTTATGTGGCATCGATATATATTTACATTAACACATTAATTAAAATCACGTTATCCATTTGTTAAAAGTAAAATTAAGGACCAAAATGAAAGTTCATGCACTAAGAATAAGATTTAAACCAAAATTATATCTTATAGGACAATTAATTCAGCATTCAAACCAAGGAAGCATTGTTTTGTGTTGAGAACAGAATGCAAGATTATAACCTTTGGCAAAGCATTTAAAACCTGAACACAGAAATAAATTAATGTAAGCATTGGTTGTCAAGAGCCCAATTTTCTTCATAACTCTTATTGTCAAATCTCTTTGAAATGGTGAAGTCTAAGAACTTGATGATGTTTTCATGAAGAAATAGTATGGCATTTCACCAAAGCTTTGTCTGTTTTTCTCTTCAACCTTGAAATTACCTACATTGATAGGTTATGATTGCAAGTGATGTATCAAAAGGTGATTACAAGAATGAAAAGAAAGTTACTGTCTTTGCCTTAAAAGGTAGCATTCTATGTGTGCATTTGAGTTTCTACACTTTCCTTTTCACACTTTAATTAGTAACAATGAGAAGTTCTTTGGACTATATATGATGTTTGATRGAGTTTTATATGGATTTATCTATACCATACAGATAGGATTCCTCAGGGTGTCGTATTATTCTCGATCCTTGGAGCATCTTTTCGTTCTTTGGCCCCTTTGTTCASCAACGATGCTCACGTTTTAGAAATCATTAGAACTGGAGTACTGGTAAGTTACACAATTTTGTGGTGAAGAAATACCCAGCAATTATGAGACTCCTACTTATCAAACACAACATCGATAGATTAGTCAAGCTCCTACTTACTGGTGTGAAGGCAAGTTTTGTTGTTCCATGGCGGTGAACTACCCTTCCATTGAAACTTGTACAGTTTGTTAGTGCCACTCAACCTTTGATTTCTCTTTGATGGTTTGCATTATGGTGTTTCAGACTTCCAATATGCAGCTTGCTCAATGGTAAACAGTTTCCTAAGATATCCTTTTCCCCCAAGGGAGAAGAAGAGACATGATGAATTCATTACTTGTTGTTCATTACATGTAGGGGCAATCTCTTCAACCATTATGCTCTATGCTCCTTCCAGTCTTTATGGGCTTTATGGGCTTGCGTACTGCAGCTGGTTTTGCCAGGTACAGTCTCGCACTTTATTTTCATGTCTTGAATTTAAAAAGTACCTAATAGGTCCAAAATTAAAGGGTTCAGGACCTATTAAACACTTGTTAAGAATTTAATGACCTATTAGACATAATCTTGAAGTCTTAAGGACTGAACTTAGTTAAGTTATTGTTAAATTTTTCGATTCTCTGCAGGGCATTATAACTTTCTTTCGTTGTTTCATTATGTAGATTGCTTTCAAAAGGCGGTCCATGGTGGTTACTGCACAGTGATTTCCCAGTTGGTAGAGCTGTAGTTATGGTATCCAAATTTCTCATGCTCTCAATTTTGGTGTTGTATATTATGTCATCAATGAGTGAGTCTCTTCCATAATTGCWGTTGAGAGTACTTCTTTTGCATGCCTTACTAAGAAAGTAGATTGTGAACAAGATGGATGTGGGACTTAATCATCCATATAATGCATATTATATTATACACTTGTCCTAATAAAATAATGTGTGAAGTACAGATGTTAATCAAAATGGAACTAAAAGGCAAGTAAATCCTCACATATATGTGTGTGTGTGTGAAAAACATACCAAAATGATGACTTCAGGTGTCCAGAACTTCATTCCTTCAAGTTGCAGCCTGCAAAATTGGTCCTGTTAGACAGATCTTGCTCATCAAATCCTCTATTTCCGCTCTGAATTGATCGAAAACCTACCCAAATATTCCAAAGAGGCTCAGAGGTCACCAAATTAGGATCATGTAATATCTATGATGTTCAAGTCTAGATCAATAGTAACTATTGTGCTCTATGTGACAGGGAGACTTAGAACTCTACCACTTATATTTCATCAATCAAAAAATAAAGCTCCAAGAGGCTTTACACCAGGATATGCACTAATTACTTGGGAAGGAAGTTACAGCAGCACTTCCCAATTCCATCTTCTGTCCCAACAGCATAAGCTGCTCTACAAACTCCTCTCCAGTTAGAATTTCTGTTGTACCATATACAACATGCTTGGCAGGCTGCTGACGCAGGGAAAGTTCCTGCAGACTTGCATACTCTACATAATTACCACCACCAATCATAAATACGATCGCTTCCTTGAATGGCCCTTTTAAATGGCTACTGCTTGTTCCAGTACTCGACCTTTGAGCACGAGGATCAAGCACAAGATAAGAATCGATTTCAGGGTTTGGTTTACCCTCCATCAAAGCCTCCACAGTCCTTGTTAGTGCAAGTTGCCTATCACTAGACAATAGATTCTTTACACCAGCAGTCACAGCACCAATTGATTGTCCATATAGCTTCTCAGCCCAATCGACAATGTTGCCTCTGCTAGCAGGATTTGTTGATGCAAATGATGCGTTCAATGATTTTATCTTCTTTACGTATTGAAACGCACTGGTGTCGACTTCCAACTCCTTGAGTAACTCTTCTACTGCTYCAATTTCTGATTGATTAATATTTTCAGAAGAGATCAAGTACATGATGGCAAACCGAAGCTTGTCCATCTTGGTGCCTTTACCTCGAAGCACACCCAAGAGCTCATTCCGATGGATGCCCCCTCTAGACATTATGTCATTTTCCTTTTTCGCATATGAATCGAGAGACCTCTCCTTGATCTCACCTAGCAACACAGTAGCAATATTCATGTGCTTGTCAATGATTTGCTTCCGCTCAGTCAACTCCGGCAATGAGTTCACTGCCTTCATCAAATGCTTAGTGTTCCCTATCATATCTGTACCATCAAACTCAGCCTCAGAACTTCCACCAGTCTTCCTATTGACCTCATCAACATCCTTCTTGTATTTATTCAATTGTGTCTCAATCTCGACTGCAACTTCCGGGAATTCCAAAGACCMATTTGCCAACCAAAACGGATCTGACCTATCCAACTCATAAGACTTCATTCCACCCTTCTCACCTTGAACACTCAACCTATTCAGTTTGAGCCCAAGAATGTCATGCACCAAAGGTCGATATCTAAAATCATGTTGWATTCCAACAGACAACTCGAAATTTCGATCAAATATACACAGAACTGGGCGCTGAAAGGAGCTCATAAACCCCCCTCCTTCAGCGAACAAATTGTTCTTAGATAACAAGTGATCCCTTAACCTTTGATCCAATGCCATGGCAACCATCTCAGCAGGCCCACCTCGTGGGCATCTAATGATCGGCACCACTCCAAGTGTAGCCAAGACACAGAACAGCCCACCAACTATCTTCTCTACAATTTCTTCAATCTCACGATCCCCAGCCGAGGGATCATTCAACTGGACATAGCTAGACTTCTGAGCCAACGAAAACAAATTATCTTCAAGAGTCACAAATTCCAAATACTGATCATGCACCTTTGCAATTCGTTGAATCGACTCTGATTTCAACGTCCCAGATGCGAGCTCCTCGAGCAGCGGCCGAGGGACGGAGGACGCGAAGTTGAGGTAGAAGTTATCGTACAGAGAACGGGAAGCATCAGCAACGATCCGGTGGACATTGTTGGCAGTTGCTTGAAGGAAGTAGACAGCAGGAACGTCGTGCACAGGCTTACGGTCCTTATCAACAAGGAAGTAAAGAGTAACGCCATGTTTTCTCAGGTCCTTAACATGAATCAAAGGAGAAAGGATGTTTTGGCAGAACCTGTCGTAGATCAACATCTTGTAAACCTCTTCGTTCGCCGTACCCGCCGCGGTAACAGGCTGGTTCAGATTCAACATCCGGATAATACTCTCTGCGACATCAATAAATCAAACCGAATTAGTTGGAATTCAGGTCAATTTCGTGGTCCGTGTGATGATTGAATCGCCGGGGACTGGACTGAGATTTAAGCCGAGAAGAAGAAAGAAAAGAGAGAGAGAGGATTGCTTACCAGTCTGCTTTTGGCGGAGATTGAGAGCCATAGCTTAGGAATCGAATCGCTTCGTAAAGAAATGAAGATTTGGAAGGTAGAGGGAGGGGATTTTGGTATGAACTCTGAACGCGCGCAGCGATCTGTGACGACGATTCCACCTCTTTTGCTACGACGTCGTTTTTGGCACAACTCTATCGACGAAGTCTTTTTCCAAGTTTGATTTATTCTTTTTTWAACTTGGATAGGTTAAAGACATTTATTTCCCATAAAATGGTCCAAGTTCAAATTTTCAYMTTCGCATATAAATTTTTACATTAATTCACATATATATTTTTTAATATAATAACATGTGGACAGATATTCAAATTTCCAACTTTTTAGTCCAGACTAAATATTTTAAACAATTATATTTAAATTAACAAAAAAAATGTAAATATAGAAGTTAGAACTAGGTGGTCTTTTTTTTTTTTTTCTTGCGTGTAACTTGATTTTTTTTCCTTTTCTTTTTGAACCTTGTCCTCCTCGGAGAAATAAAAAAACCAGAGATTTCTTTTTTTTTTCTTTTCTTTTTGAACCTTGTCCTCCTCGGAGAAATAAAAAAACCAGAGATTTCTTTTTTTTTCTTTTCTTTTTGAACCTTGTCCTCCTTCAAATAAGAGGGAGAAATACAAAAACCAAAGATTTCTTTAAATAATGATAGGTTGTCAAGACAAAATTTCTCCCAATTATTGAAGAGCGTTAGTATTTTCCGTTGAAACTTCTTCAACTTACAACTTGAGGATTAAAATGGTGAAAAAAATATTTGAGTCACAATTTCAATATTACATAAACTAAATTGACATAAAAACATAATATTAAACTAGTAAAAGCAAAATTTTTATATGAATTCAAATTATACTAAATTATATTTTAAAAATATATATATGYTAATCTATGATCACCAGTAAGAATATTGTTAGAACAATACGTAATTTTAATATATTCTCATGTACAGATCCTCCAAAACAAACATAACTATCTAAGTATTCTCAAACATTCTTATAAATATTTCTACAACAACCGTGGTTATCTAAAAATGTTGACCTCTATAATTTCAAATATCTAATATTTCGAGCATCTAAAAATGTCAGCTATCTAGATTCTCGTAAAACAACCGCTCCTGAGRGTTAAGTAAGAACAATACTCATCTAAGTTAGAAGAAAACATAGAAAGCAAAAGCATGGTATTCAATGGGGTATCTCCTACATCCCTGCATGCAATATCATCTTGTTTTTTCCCCCTCTTTATTATCAAACAATATAATACATAATCAGTCACTTCCAATTTCCAAAAGCATATTCAGATCAATTCAAATGGGTTGTAACTTTAAGGCAGCTTCCTCATGGCATGCTACTTTAAAATATTATAAGCATTCAATTTATGTAACAAAGAACAAATCTCTGTACTAACATCTGTTTACCCCACAAAGAAAATTATGAATATGAAATATCCCAGTTCTGGTAATCATATCATAGCCACCTATTTACAAGAATAGTAAGTAAATCCCATAGTTTTTAATCATGATACACTTACCCATAGATTAGATTGATTCATCCTCTGTGCACCAAAAAAAGAAATTTTACCTTCGCCATCTGGTTGCACGTCATCATAGTTCATAGTTCATAGTTCATAGCAGCAGTTTTCTCATTGCTACATTTTGGACTTTGGAAAGGGTTCACACAGAGCAGAATGTGCTACTCAGCAGAAAAATTCAGGCATTTGAAGAAACTCAATACTCATCTCATCCCTCTTTCTTGCTTTTGATAATAGAGAGCAGTAAGTACCTCTTATTCTTTACTACTCTTTGGTGATCCACCTGCGGCCTCCGACTTGGTACTTGCCAAAACCGTGATCACTGCTGCTTTCTCCACCGCTTTCTGCGCTTATATGGCCTGCTTTTCGACGGTTCTTCTTTTCCATTATGACCCCGCTGTCACTAAAGCTCCCATTCAGAAGCGGGTCGTCTATTCCTCGAATGACTTTTTGTGTGGGTGACGTGATGCAACTGTCATCCTTGGTTCTTCTTTTATCCTTGTCTCGTTTCTTGATGTTTTGGGAGAGCTTATGTAGTTTTTCATTGAACTTCGTGATCCCTTTCTCCACAGGTTCAACTGCTTGGTTTACTGTGAATTTCAGGTCGCTCACAATCTGTATGCAAGTTTAAAGGCGATTTCAAAAACAAGAAGTCAGATAATATTATTTTCAACTCTAAACCTATTTGACCTTTCGAGTAAGAACTTTCTATTGTCTTCCAAAGGCTCTTCGGCCCCCCTCAAGGGAGCACTTGCGATAATAACTAGTCTACTTACAAAGTAGTAGTACGGTTAATGGAAAAGGAGCAAATGTACTCTATAATGCTTACTGTTAAATAGTTTTCCATGTTTATCCACTTTCGTATGAGAAAAAATATATACATACATGTGTATGTATTCAATGCCAAAGACTGTGCCAATTTACCTTAAGAAACAAAAATCATGACAAGACATTAAATCACAATCAGTTAGATAAATCAAGGATGCWACATAGAGTGAAGGGAGAGAACTCACATAACCCCCACCACCGACAAAAACATCTCGGACGCTTTCTTTGATTGTCATTCCCATCTTAGGGTCTTGGTCTTCTAGGTCTGGCTGGGGTAGGCGTAATTTGGTAGGACGCTCGCTATCCCTGACCTCATCTGGATCTAAAGGACAGTCGACAGATGCATAATCACCAAGAACAGAAACGATTCCAGGATAACGGTCCCCCATAAGTTCATAGGGTTTTGCAGTGAATACAAACAAGTGAATCACAGAAGCAATGGCCATCTGTGCTGGATGAAGTTATAGATGTGTCAAAATTCAATCTTGTGAATATGAACATCAATAATCAGATTATACTTCTGCAATGAATAAATGAAAAGATGAATCACAAGAAAAAAAATCTGTTAATTCATTACAATTAACCACCCCAAGCTGCGGTCTTAACAGAAGTGAGAACTGCTACCAATCAGAAAAGGATGTTTCACAAGACTAGAATGAGAAATGGAAGAAATAAAATGATTCACAAAATGAGAAAAGAAATGAAAGAAAATCTTARTTCAGTTGAATTTTAGGACAAATGGTAGATTTATAAGTAGACAGAGATCAAAAACCAATTAACTGCAGGAAGCCATTCACCAGTATAGAATTATTAATTCTTCTGATTTCAATGAACAAGCTCAATCAGCAAGCTAAATTGTAAAGGTCTATACGCCATCTTATGTATAAAAATAAATCAAACTCAACTAATGGTCTCTTAAGTTTGTTGTTTCTGTATCAAGTTTCAACAATCAAATATGCAATTTAGGCATAACTAAGGTTGACCAAATTTGAATTCCACTTATCGTCTTATCAACCTAAGAAGGAAAAAACAAAATGGAAAGAAGAAAGTAAACCATACTAAAGGGTAAAATGAATTTTGACGAAGAGGTAATATTATTAGCCAAGTCTGACGAGTGTTGCTTAATCAATGGTGCCAATACATCAGAAACAGTTTGAAGGGGAAAAGGAAAAAAAAAAGACTCAGGTAAATGAAATGGCTACCTCTATACAAATGATGAAATCTTGGACACTTGACTTAAACTGTAACCCTTGGGCTACAGGACTCCTGAACAAACCAAGGGCAGATAGGAGAGCAATTCCAACACCTTGCCACCAAGTCAAAAACACTATAGATTTAAACATCAAAAACTTGGCCAATGGTTTAATATGTACCAGTTCATCCTTTGTAACTGTATAGAATTGAATCAGACAATACAACGCCCATGATTGACTGAAATTTAAAACCACTGCCATATAAGGATACCTACAAAATAAATGCTAAAACCATTAACTGAAAATTTCAACCATGAATCTTGCTACTTATTTATTTATTTAATGGCATATATACATATAAAGAAATTTCTACTTGGAATTAAACTGAATGAAGAATTTACTTTTCTCTTTCTACTCGGTTAGAAACATGAAATATAAACAAAACACGTGCAGAATTTGRGAATTTACAGTTCAGTTAACAGTTAAGAAAACATACATCAATGATATGGATACAATTGAAACAAGATCTTGATTCTTGATTTAGAATATAATTTGAGAACACATCACTAAGTTTCAAGAAAAATACTCCTGATAGAAAGCAAGCAAGATTTCCTAAAGCTTACTATCCGCGCATGGTTGTGATCTTTGATAGAATAGCATAGCAGAAAAAGCATCGAAACATTATGTTCTWTTGCGCTTATACCAGAAGTTGTCAAAAATTATTGTTCCAAAAGTTTGGGACCTTTTGGCATTTTGTGGTTGTTCAAAGCTGTTTGCATCAACTTCTTTAGATTTTCCTTTCCTTGGTCAAGCCAAAAATTTACAGGAATAAAATAGAACTTGACCATGATAAAGATCATAAAGACATGCCAACATAATAGATCGCAATATGTTCCATGGATGCACATATAAAATTGACAAATGGATCAAATGAAGGACATGGAAAAACAAGAACATAAACATCAAGGGATCGAGATTAACAGTAACAAGATACATGAGCATCCGAAGCAGTGGGGAATATAAAGCCAAGAGGAATAAAGGTTATCTCTTTAAAGCTCAATGTCGAGAATGCATATGACAAAGTTGACCGGGTTTATCTTGACAAGAATTCTAGAATACGAAAGCTTTGGCAGCAGATGGAGAAAGTAGATGAAGGTGATAGGAATGGCCTTTGCGGGTAAATTAGGGTGGGTCTTATCCTACTTCATCCTTTCATCATTTCGCCCTCGCTCTATTAATAACAACTCTCCTAACAACTTTCCTAYCTAATTACTAACATATCCTTACTATTCTATTATTAACCCTAATTACCCCCAAAGACCATTCCATCCATTCAGAAGGCTTGTGTTTCGATAACAAATTTCTCAGTTCTTATCAACGGAAGACCAAGGGGGAAAACCAATGCAATGAGAGGCCTTAGACAAGGGGATCCCCTCTCCCCTTTTCTTTTTACTCTGGTAGGTGATGCCCGTAGTTGCTCCATTCATTTTGTGCTAAGAGAAAGTTCGTGAAGGGCTTTAGGGTGGGTAACAAACAAATGAAAATTGTCCACCTTAGTTAGCCGATTCACGCTTATTTTTTGCCCAAATGATGCCGAGATTCTTCAAAAGAGGTGGTCTTTCATCCCATTATCCTTATTGGTTCAGGTCTCTCCCCTAATTTTTAAGGCAAAGAAAATTCCCCCAGAAGGAATTTTTTTTAGTAATGACGGCTTATCTTTGAAACTTCAATATTGGAAGACCTTAATGTTCTAGTTTTTTGGGAGGGGTCATCTCATCCTCTGCTCTTGCCTGTTGTTTTTCCTTTTTCTTGTGTTGATGCATTCGTTTCTCATCCCAAAAAAAAATAACAATAAATAAAAAGATACACAAGCATCCAAATACCATGCAAAAATAAAAAAGGGAAGAAAACCCCATCACATCAATACATAAAACTCAATAGTTAACATAAAGTTAGTCAAATGTGAAGGAGAGTGAGCAACAGCAGAGATACTTGAAAGTTCAGTTTACCCGCATTTGGAATTAAATTCTCCTTCACAATAAACGCCAAATTTCTCAAGAACTACACCTAAAATAGAAGTGAGGGACTTTATAATCATCTGCCATAGGGAAAATCCATGTTAGTCTTCTTAAATAATATTAAAAGGCATTGAATAACAGAGGATCGATGGTAAAGGGCAAGCATACATATTGGACGATTCCAATTTTGATAATATGGTAAACCCATCCACCAATTTTCCATGGCTTTAAGAAAAAGTTCATAGGGAAAAGATGCTTGATAATTCCCTTCTCCGAGCCATGTTCTAATAATGGTGTCTTGGAATTTGAACGCCCTTCTCTCTCTAGAAATTCAATAGTCCTTTCTTCCCCACCTAGCAAAAATGAAAAGGATAATAAAGGGGTCATATGAAGAGAAAAACTGATTTGAGAATAGCAAATATRGTAAAATAATAATAATAATAATAATAATAAATAAATAAATAAAAATTCAGACTCCTGCAAAATTAGAACCCATAGCTTCTGTCATAATCCTACAATATTTTCAGAAATATTTTTTAAAGAACATACCCAAGCAAGCAACCAGGTATCGTCCAAAGCAGTACATAGCGAAGGATTCATAGCAATCGCGCAGTATCTCAAGATAAATACTTATTGATGGGTTCACCAATGATATGAACTGTTCACAATAAACCAAGTAAGAGAAAAAGAGAGGGTGTGAATTTTCACACAAGATATTCATCGCATCCAAAACAGAGCAAGCGTGGTAAATGTCAATTTTCAAYGTTTAATATCAATATCAAATACTGGCAGCACATATTATTTTGATTATAAGTCTAAAAAATCAATTTACAAGGTCTCATATTTTCACAGTTATAGACTGCAAATATATGTAATTTATCCTTAAGAACGTGTCATTCAACTGCTCAAGTCAGTATTTTCCATGATGAACTCTTTTGAAATAAGGTTAACAAGACATCGACTGTACAGGAAAGAACTATCATTCAAGTTGGACATCGGAACTTCTTGCTATTTCAACCATAAAGCTTTAAGGAGGTTGAGGGAAGTTTCAGATTACTAACACACAGTAAGGTCACAAAAGGAACGCAAGCGAGAAATTTATCTCCAAATATTCATCAAGTCATAATATGAAGCATTCAGTTAAGAACTTACAGATTCTACAGCATAAGTTGGGACCATTAGGATAACACCAATCAAAAACTTTTGCTCCTGAGAGATGGTAACCAAGAACAATTATGCTATTTGAAAGAAAATAAGCTTAATTACAGACAAGAAAGCATCATCGTTGAATAAAAAAACCTCTGGATTCTTATATGCAGAAAGGTGCTCGAACAATAGATAAAGTGAAAGGACAAGAGTCATGATAACAAATGCAGCAGCAGCTAATGTCGCCCATGTTGGAGGTGCGTAGGTCATTGATATGTTGGAACAAGTCAATATCTTCACTTTACAGCTTCAGTCTCTAATCTCTATTGCCTAAATTCCATATAAAAAAAGCACCATAATATTACTGTCTACCCAACAAACTTATTCAACTGGAAGAAAGGAGGAAAACATATAAACCTGTTTAAATGCACCGACAGTGTYATTAATACACACAATCAAGCATCCTCAATTAATCTTTAATTAAGAAGGTGCCACTTCTAAGTTCTCGTCTCTACAAAAAATAACAAATGAGGAATTTCCAATGCTATTACAGAAAGAATAATGAATCAACTTTAAATTACAAGGTCTATCTAGTTTTTGGCTTGAGTTTTCACAATTCTGAACRCAACTTTAAACATTTTAAGAACTGACTCCATTGCTAAATGGCAGCCCCATAAATTAAGAAGACTGATTGCGATTTTGCGACAGATAGATGGATGCATCATGGGTCCATTTCAAAAGGATAATATAATCTCAGACAAAGGCTTCATTTGCCTCCCTCAACTACTCTGATGAAACGGGGAAAGTTGGAAACTAGTGAATCGGTTCACTGACAATGACCTGGTAGAAATTCGTGTTCATTTCACCTTTATAGCCAAAAGGGTACAGATGCCACAACTCACCTCGACGATGAAGGAAACTGAGTTGACTCCGCAAACCCAAATGGAAAAAGATCGCGGAGGGGAAATGGAAATTAAACTTTCAATGCTTGTGAGATACTGATAAATTCCGGGACAAAACCAGGAATTACGAGTCAAATTAAAAATTAACGACATCCAGAAACCTTATGAAATAATAAAATCATTCAAAACTCTAAAGGGAAATGGGATGACAGCAGCTATTCCCCAAAAAATAGGGGAAAAAACTAAATAAACAAAGGAAATCACCATGAGAGGCATGAAACAGAACCACAGAACGACAGAATTGTCAAGAAAAGACGCCGTAAAGTTTCATCACGCTTATTGGTCAGAGAGGAAAAAGGGGAATTCTTACCCGAATCAGGAATAAACCCTAGGAAACTGTGCAGCAGCAGAAGGAAGCACGGGGAAGGCACGTGACTTAGCAGCGGAGGAGTCCCGTGCGTCCCGTCCACTACGACCCTGAGAAAAAAAATCAGAAAATTCGCCAATTCCTAACCACGAATGGACCTATCTCGTTCTCGTCCCGTCACCATCAAAGCGATGTTATCCAGTCGCCGTCACCGCCGCGGCGGCCCGCCGGTTGATTTCCGCGTAGCGTTTTTTCACGATGAAATCTTTGCGGCCGTCGTCAGGGGATCGGAACGGCGATTCTTCGATTCGTCATCCGAAACTTCAGATGATTTTCAGTCAGTGGAGAAATGGATGGAGAAGGAACCGGAACCGGCGTTCGTTTGATCTCGGCGGCAAGCAGCGGTGCAACAACTTGGCAGCTGCACGAGGATATTGCTCTCCCTCGATGTATTTTCCAATTTCATCAAAGTGAATTTCTTGAGTTTAAAGGTTGTTCCAGGGACTGTTTTTCAATTATTTTTATGCCTTTTTTTTTCCAATAATCATTATTCAGATTATTAGAAAATAGTAATATACTAAATCATCTTCCCATCAAATAGAAATGTTGGAATCTTCCTTCTTTTAATTATAATAATATATTATTTCAAAAAAATAATTTTAAAATATAGCGATGCAATTGTGATAAAGGAGATTTTTAGCTTGTGAAACTGTTGAGTTTTTGTTTTATTCTATAAAATTTTGGTCCAGAGTCATGTTAATAACTTGTATATATTTATTTTATGGTTTATTTAAGAATATTCCAAACTTGATATCAAATTTCATAGTCTATATCACATTACTTAATCTAATTTAATTATTTTCATGTGGAAATTCAAACTGGTAACTTTTTAGTCAGAAGTAGGTGTCTCAGATTAGCAAGCTTAAATTTTTGTATGCAAAATTTAAAATCTAACGTATAACAWCCAGCATAGTTTATCAATTAARACATTTTGTTCATTTTAAACCCAAATTTCAGTTGCTAATCCGAGCTAGATAAGGACATAAGAACTTAAATTATTAAAAAAAARAAAAAGAAAAATCAAAATCTCAGTTAAAAAAATATTTATCCAGATTTTTTTACTACAAAAAATATCTATATTAATAAGTTGGATATTACAAGAATCATTATCTTTTCCAAAACTTCATTATTTTAATGCCTAAAACTACATATTGGAATTTGAGATTACACCAATTAAAAGATTCTGTCCACTATTTTTCAGAAGACAACTTTAAAATGACGAGAGCAATATTGAAATGCAGCTCTAAATTCAGAATCTCACCCAACAATCAACTTTATAATTAAAAGGTTTAAATTCCAATTGTCTTTCATTTTTTAGATTTGTTGAATTTTGGTAACCACCTCTAAACTATAAAAAATAACTATTTTCTTTTAGGAAAAAAAAAATAAATGTGAACAGATTTAAAAACTATTTTGATTTGGTTCCATGTTAATTTTAGCAATTATTTGAAACGGTGACCACTTGTATTTATTGCAAAATTTTAACACAAATTTTATACATAATAAAAATCATTAAATATATAAATACAAGTTTATATCTACATCTCAATAAAGTACCAAAACTTATGGATGAAAAAAATGAGATAAAAATAACCAAAATAGCCACTCTATAAAAGTAAAAAATGAGATAAAAATAACCAAAATAGCCACTCTATAAAAGTATAAGGACTTACAGAACTAAAATAAATAAAAGTTAAAAAAATACACGAACCAAAGTARAAAACATTGGAATCAAAATAGTATATAAACCTTATTACTATTATCTAAACCTAAATGGACCAAATAATCAAAGAGCAGAAGAGCTCCTCACAGGAATGAGAACACCAAAGAACCAGAGAGAAACAAAAGGCAACAGAAATCAGCACCAACCATTTTGGGAAGCAGAAAAGAAAAATGGTGAGATTTCAAAGACTGCTGCTGATCAAGTTCCCATAAAATTTGAAACATTTCAAATGTATGTACAAGTCTTTTTTGGAGGTGGGGGGATGGGGTAAGGGAGCAGCAAATTTAATATAGTAATCCATAACTTAATATCCACGTCTCTATATATCTCTATCTCATGGGGCACTTCAATTATTCAGATTCCAAATCATAACCTGTGTCTCTTCCATGTGCACCTGTTTTGTCTGTAGATCTAAAATTTTCACTATTACATGTCTGCATAACAAATCCCAATTCAATATCAAGACGAGAAAAAGGTAGATCTCCTCATTTACTGCCCGGGATTTCCCAGCAGTCGCTCGACAGCAGCATGGACGTTCCCGGAAGTAGCGCGTAGAGCCCTGATATTCTCTTGGGTGTCGAAGAAACCCATCTCTTGGAGCTGTGAAAGCTGAGTTGCATATAGTTCTTCTGGGGGCACTGCAAAACAAGGTTTAACTCATCTTAAGGTATGAAGTAACTGGTAAGGGACTACAACAGGGTGAGCTGCAATAGAAATATAATAATGTGATGAGCAGATAATCGAACCGTTGGGATTGTTTGAAACAGCCAAGCCGCCAGCACCAAGTCCGCCAAACAGGTTCATCAACATCTCCAATCCGGCAGTGCTAGGAACACCTATGACTTATGTGACTTAGAAACGTTGGATTGTGAAAGAATATAACTGAGAAACATGAAAGATAGAACTTATCCTTCACTATACCTGCAGCAGCACCTGATTGAGCAGAATCTCTGTAAAAAGTTGCAAGTAGTCAATAAATGATATGGAGTGAAAAATCAGTCCGTATAAGTGTGAAAGAAAAAAATAATAATGCACTAAATCCTCTATTAATCATACAATTTATGAGGACTAATTTACTTGATCAAATTCCATCAAAATACTAAACCACCGAACAGTTAAGTAGGATAAAGACTTCATTTTGGCCGAAATATTTGATTATAGAAGGAAGAAAAACAATTCTGGTATATGAGATGAGTCTGCAGCAGTCAATATAAAATGTAAACCTGACAGAAGTTTCCATAAATAATTAAATCCCTGAACTTACTGAGATGACGGCTGTCGATTTAAGGAAGAGACAAGTGACTGCTGAAGTGATAGCATTTGCTGC